ATGTGGTGAAAATTTCGTTTCTTAGTTATAACTATAACTTTCTCGGTTCTTTCCCGCGCGAAACAGTTTTTGCAATGTTACGCACTTGTATGACGGAGACAACACATGCGGGTGAAACGTCCTCTTAAGAGGACGCCCACCAACATTTATTGTCTTAGTATTATAAACGCGTAATATACCTACCAAATTCTCASTAAGCCGTTCACGTATAATAATGTCTTCTTCCGTTAGCTTACAAATTAAAGTGAATACCTATAGACCTATAAAACTTGAATGTAAGAAAATTATATATATATATCTATGTTTTGTTCGAAGTTTTTTTACGATAATCAAGTTTTTAACTGAGATATGCCTGTATAATAAATTGTAAAATAAAAATACTCATAACTCACTACACAACTGAATTATCGTAAAAAAAATTTGCAACAAAACACGGATAATGTGCCTACCATCAAGTTTCATAATGGGTATATACTATATTCACCAAACGGGATTATTATCCCGTTAATAAGGCGTGAACTGCTGAACGTAAATTTTGTGTTAGGTACATGTTTGTAAGACTGAGACAACAAATGCAGGTGGGCGTCTTCTAAAGTAACTATTGCACCTCACAAGCAGATTTTATGATAAAATATAGAATGTTGTGCAATACCTTTAATGCTATAATATTAGTTGTTTTTCGTGTTATATATTATATATAGTATATACATTATTCATTACTCTAAATAAAAATAATAATAATTTATATTATATTACCAATTAGTTTGTGATAATAAGAGTTAACATTTTAGCAAATATTGTATGTAGTTATCAACTTTTTACCCCATAAATTGCAAACAAAACAGAATTATATAATAAAAAGTGTGTTCAACTCTATATGGTAGGTACATATAAGTGATTGATAATCTTGGGGGAGATGGGCTAGATATATCAGCTAATTATTATATAAGTAATATAGTAACATCTAGTATAATATACGTATATTATACGTTGGTGGCAGTATTGTTATAAACATACAGTTCCCACTTGTTCCTGGTTCTTGAACAGAGGAAAAATTATAATATATACGTAATATAGATAATAGACCTCATAATAAGCTCAGTACATATCCATATTGGTTATAACTTATTGCATTTACGTTCCAATTAATTTAATTATATTCATACGTAATTTAAATTAATCGTAACTGTTTCAAACTATTCATGAGATATTAATTAAAGGACTACAAACTTGATGTGTCTAATGAAAATATTGACAAAGAAGCAAAACACAAAATGAAAAAAATGCCATTTATTTCTGCCAGTAGTGCCAGTAAAAGTTATAATATTGGCGTGAATATCCAATCAACTTTATCCATGATAAAGGTTAGTATTATATTATAGTTGTAACTATAAATATTAATAATAATAAAAACCAGTTATATTCCAACGCCTGTATAGTAAAATAGGAACCTAGTAGGTAACAATACCTTAATAAAATAAGTAAGTATATATAATATATTATAATAAATAATATTTAACATAGTAGTATATTACCCCATTCGTGTTTATATAATAGGCAAAATTAAACTTCAGTGGTCAGATTTTGAAATAAGTTCTAAAATAATAAATAAATGATGTTTTGTAGAATTATATCTTAGAAATTAATTAATTAATACTTAAACACAAAATTCCACCAGATTGCCACTTGGACATTATGGTGGGATCTATTGCGGGGTCTCCAAATAAATAAACAAGGCCATGCATTTTTTTCTAACTAAAAAATGTGTTATATTCTCTATAGTGCACTAGTAACTATTATATTATAGCTATTTATTTAATATTACTTTATAATAAATTATAAAACAATCAAATTTAGGATGCTGCAAATACATATCCTATAAAGAAGACTGATATTATTATTTTTCAATTTAAACTACGCGTATTAAACAATATTTTAGATTCTGAGCGGAGCGATGAATGTATTGATTTTACTATGA